TATATATATGTACTAATAACTAATATGATAGATGCATGGACCCACGGCGACTTTGTCAGCGTCCACCCCGTGACGAAACAGGTTCTCTTCCACGGCCGATCCGACGGGGTGTTGAATCCATCTGGCGTCCGATTCGGGTCCGCAGAGATATACAATGTCATTGAGACGCAGTTCGCCGATGAGATCCAGGATTCCGTCTGTGTAGGCCAGAGACGGCCTACAGACCCGGATGAATCGGTTATCCTCTTCTTGCTGATGAAGGAGGGTTCGAAATTCACGCCCCAGTTGGTTGCGAGGGTGAAGGAGGCGATCAGAAAGGCTCGGACGGCGAGACATGTCCCGAAATATATCTTTGAGACTCCTGAGATACCGGTATGTGTTTTTTTCCCCCCTCGTTTTGATGGTAGAGAATTCTGTGCACTGACTGCAGCAGACAACCGTCAATCTGAAAAAGGTAGAGCTGCCGGTCAAACAGATCGTTTCTGGCGTAAAGGTCAAGCCGTCCGGGACGCTTTTGAATCCCCAAAGCTTAGACTTCTATTACCAGTTCGTTGAAGTTGAGAAGCTGCTGGCCCTGAAGAGCAAGTTATGAGTTAAGCCTTTAGATTTGCGAGTTGAACTTCTGCTTCTTGCAGTGGAGAAAGGGAAAACATTAGCATCTAGTGGGATCTCTAGCCAGACTCGTCTACGAAGTTCTCACCTTACACAGAGAAATGTTTCTGGAAATCATTTTATATATCCCTAGAGTTATGACAATACATAGGAAATACCAAGACTACCCACATGATCATAATAATGGCGCCGAGACTAGAGTCCAGGATATAATAGAAACAATTTAGAATGAAAAACCCGAACGAACATGCCGGAACCCGATCTCAATAACGATGCTTGAAAAAACTTAGTATCTACGCAGGAACTCTGCGCTTTATCCCAACATTTAGGCCTAGCGGCTTGCGCAGGAATCCCTCGCGGCACAGCATCGGCCCCTCCTGTTCCAGCTGGTAATCAAACATGCGGAAGAAAGTACCGCAGATGACGAGGAGCTCCATTTCGGCGACGTTGCGTCCCACGCATGCACGAGGGCCCGTGCTGAAAGGGATGAAGGCTGCTTTCTGGCGGGCCGTGAGGCGAGCGGGATCCCACCGCTCGGGGACGAACTCGTCTGCATCCGGGCCCCAGACTTCGGTAGAGTGGTGGATGGTATATGCGGGGACGGCGAGGATGTCACCGGGGTAGAAGAGGTGACCGCAGATCTCGATAGGGGGGTTTCCGGCAGGGATTTCTCGGGGAAGGCCCATGGAAGATGTGCTGTGAATACGCATGGTTTCCCAAATCACCCATTGGAGACTGGAGTGTTAGAATAAAGAAAGAAAGAGAAAAGAAAAGGGGGTTGAGAAGATGGATAGCAGCTTACTAGGGAATCTCTTTCACCATTGCAAAAGAAGGAACCTCAATGCCCTGAGGGATAGCCTTGTCCAAAGCCTTGTGCAGCTTCTCAATGACACCAGGAGTTCTGAGGGCCCAGTAGAGAATGGCACACGAGGTGTTGGAGGTAGTGTCCGACCCGGCAATTAGCTGCGTGAGTGCTTCGGCTGTGAGCTCCTGGCGACCAAGAGTCGCGCCTGTCTCGTCCTTTCCTTCCATAAGACGAGCCAGTAGATCGACACGGGTGTTGTTCGCCATGTTCTCGGGCTTTAGGCGCTCGTTCACACGTGCGATGGCGATACCCGCCAGGTTTGCAACCGCCTCCAGGCCGTCTTTGAAAAAGCGGTCCGGGATGTACTTTGCGAACGGAATGAGGGCGGGGCAGCATCCGAGGGTGGCGGAGACCTCCCCACGGCGATTAAGGACTTCGACGGCGGGTACGTAGGTTGGCGGGCCGTCGGGGGACTTGCGCATCTCGGCGATATCCTGGCCCTTTTCCAACATGCCAAAGGGAGCACCAAAGGCAAGATCTCCGATCACGTCAAAGGCAAGGTAGTTGAACCAGTTGAGGGCATCAACGCTGGCGTAGCCGGTCTTTGGGTTGGCTTCCAGGTCTGACAGCTTGTTCCACTGCTTGACAAAGAGCTCGACATTGCCATGGATGTACTGCTCGAACTCGCCGATCGACTTGGCACTGAATGTGTGAGAGATGGTCTTTCGCTTTCGAGTGTGCTCAGCGCGGTCTCTGGTATTGAAGAGGCCGCGACGGATCGAAACGAAGGCGTCATAGAAGTCTCTGCGAATTATATGGTTAACAGAATCCCCCAGTCTAAAAGAAACGAAGGAACTCACGCCTTCAGGAAGCCGTTTCCGTGAGCGTAAATCGTCTGGATTGCTGCATCGTCGGCAATCGAGATGTGATTCGGTCCTATGCGAACCATCTTGCCATATTTCTTATGCATTTCATGAACCGTGATGGAGCGCTGACCCCTGCGAGCTTGTAGCATCAACCACAGATTTGTGAACGCAGCCACACTGGGTGACGGGATATCGCTCAACCTCCATAGTTTCAGGTAGGGAAGCACAAAGTAGACGGCAACCACGGCCACGAGGGTATAAGGACTGAGCAGCGTGGAGAGGAGCATGGCAACGGCGTGATGACTGTGGAGTAGTTTTTTGCAGGGGTTTATTTAGCTGGAGAACTGATCCGTAACAATCCAGCAAGACCACCTCGATCAAAGCCCAGCGTATTGATCAGACGAGCTTGGACAATACCTCCTCCAGCTGTAGCGTGCTATATTTATGTGGAGAACCCCAGCTTCTACTCCCCGAGGCAAGACGTGCAACGGGAATGAAGGTCGGGAGCCTGAGACGCTATTTTGCACAGCAGCCACTGCCGACTCTGGTGGCCGAGGCCAGTTCCCCACAGATCGCCAACATTGTTTGTCAATTGCGGCGGTTTTCATAGGCCCAGCAGGCTGACTCAGCTGCTCTGATGATTTTCAATCCATGGACGAGATCGAGGCATTAACCGAATCTCCAATGGTCAGCAGCGATTACCGTTTGACTTCGAGAGGGGCAAGATGGGACCTGAAATGACGAAGTGATGTTGGTGGCGACGTTGTCATGCCCTATGCCCTATATTCCTTTTCGGGAAAGGGGTACTGGCACGAGGTTACCGTTACTCCAACACGGACCTTCACTTCCCTCACAACGGGAAAAAAACCAAGCAAAGCTTTCGCCATTCCACATAATCGATTGCGTATGCACGTGTGCATGTGAGTCTTGAGCTAAACGCAGCGTCGATAGTTGAAGTGGCTGAAGAGATCAGAGATTGAGGTAAGGCACATTGGTTGTGAGTTCATACCAGTATGTCCTATCCCCCTTCCCCCCTCCAAGTCGCCAATTACTTACCCAAAATTTGGTGAAATAGTGGCTGTGTGTTCTACCATCCGTCCGGGGCCATGGCCGCTTGCCATTGTCGGTCACCAGGCTTGCAGAAGTACCCTTCATCGTGGCTGCTATACCATAAGGCAGCCCTGTTGTACCCAATCTTGCGACTGACCGCATATCAAATACGGTGCACAAGACTGCCAGACAAGCCATTGTCCTAGTTGTCTCGGCGTTGTTTCTCAGGGATGTGTCAGGTTAAAAGAGCAGGCGATCGCTTTCAGCCTTGGAATGCGCCTACCGGGGTTTTCTACCCAAGTAGTCTCCGCGACATTCCTTCCGGCTCCTGATGCCATGTTTAGCACCCACGCCGGTTAGAATGCGGTGTAATCAAAGCGGTATTGTTGATGCCCTACAATATCTTGATTACTGGTTAATAAATCCTACCTAAGTATCCAGGTACCTACATGTGCTGCGTGGTGCTTGCATCTGCATGGCTGTGCATAATCAGGGAAGCCTACCAAGCCTGAACAAATCACGTTGGTGACTTTACAAAAATCCCGTGGAAAGGTCATCGCCCACTCGAGGCAGCCTGTCAAATAGCTCTGCCCAGGTTCCATTATCCATATCACCGGGTAGGGAGGATAAGACGGTCGTCAGCTCGAGTGGTACTTTTGCATAGCCTGGTTGGCGCCCGTGTGAAGTAGATTGCCAGTCTCTATCCATCAATTACGGCACAGCCCTCATCGGGCGCTAATGGGCAAAACCGCGGGGAGTCGGGGTCTGTTTGAAGACAGACCTGGTCTTCAGGGAGGAGTGGTCGGGAGCAATGCATAATTGGATAAGATAGTGAGGCAAGGACCCTAAATGCTGAATGGTACTCAATAATGTGAGGTTTTATCAGTTCATGCCTTTTTTTTGGGTGAACACTTCGACTGTGCCCCAATGCGGGTGCTAATCGAAACCGACTACGAAGCGCTCGTTCTCCAGCACACAGAACCAAGACCACCGAGACGCAGGAGACTACTATCTAAAGGAATTATGACGAGTACTAGACATTTAAAGAAAGCTATTCATCATGCTTGCGAGTCATGGTTCAAAAACAGATGGCGCACAGACACTACTCACCTCCCAGTAGGTACGGATTACTGGGGTACAACCAAATTTAAAGTACTATTGTGTTCAAGCCAAGATAATTTTGAATAGTAATGTTCAATGATACCATCCGTACAACTGTCGTTTCCATTTCCTGAGATCCCGTAACCTTTGAGTGGGCTGTAGAGTTCACTAGAGGTATGGAGTCAGGATGAACACTGGTCCTAGTTTGTAGTTACTAGGGTAGACCGTGCTCCGTAGAAAAGATCGAACATACTACATACATAGTTAGTTCCCTAGTAACTACTCACCCCGTGTGCACACACTCTGAGATAGTTAGCGTGGTGGGCAACATCTGACAGAAACAAACGAGTAATCCAGCCCCCTTATCAGAATAAATAGCACCAGGAAATTCATTTGCAATGATGACGAGATCATCCCAGAGCAACTGCTGAGCTCTCCCGCGGGAAGCGCAGGCCAACTGGCAACTTGGGGGCGGTCATGTGACCGTGGGCGATCCGGAAATTTCTGGATTCTTGCTGGTACCCAAAGATTAGGGGATACTATCTTGCCGGTGAGAAGCAAACATAGTGACTATGGGTTGGAGGATAGACTAGGGCGACTTATTTTGTTTTTAGAGATGTCTTGAAAGTTGAAACCCAGTGTCTAATACACAAAGTACTTCTTTTTGGGGTGTATTTGTTACTGTAGCCATGTACTAACTATGTAACTAGTAGTACTACAGTACTACTCCTCTGTACATAATGGACGCTTGATTTCTTCAGTCATGATCTGACATTCCCGCCATGTGGACAGTGGTATGTGCCGGTAGTACTTTCTCGCTAGAATTGTCGATTGCACCAACGATTGAATGAATGGCGATTCTCTTCTATGCTAATCGAATCGATATGGCATATGTAGTAAAACTCGATCGATCAGTACAGAGTAGTAGATTCTGCCTGTCCAATCCAAGCCTAATGATGCTTACCTAATTCATCTCTGGCCCTCGTGTCCAGCGAGAGAAACTTGGCAAGAATACTCCGTAGAAACTCTGCCAGAAGACTCTGCCAGAAGACTCTCCCCCATGACAACGGTTGACACAGAAAAACAACAGCAAAAACTAATGCCTACTCCGTATACTCCGTACTGCATACTCCATAATAATCCATATCTGCTCAACTCACACAAGCCTCGAGACCCTCCAAAGATACTCCGTACAGTACAGAGAAGAGTAACGAAGGACCGGAGGGCAAACGGCCACGTCGGCGAGCTAAACAACACGCACTAGTTTTGCGTTACGTCACCAAGACGACGCCAAAGACCGTGTGAGAACAACGCAGAGACCCTCGCTATTCCGTAATTAGGTCGTTAGCGGTTTTAGTCAGTAGTATGTGACCTGTTGTATGGACTAGCTAGCGAGCTATGGAGTGTGCAACAGATACTCCATAGTTAGTAAGTCTGGACAGGTAGCCAGATAGTTAGTTCGTCCAATCTATCCTTAGTAACTAGTTAACCAACTACCTAGGTAGTTAGTTACGTTGTAACTACTCCGTACCTGGATCTGGAGACTCCCGTCGGGTGTGCCGCTTGGTTCCATGGATCGGTTGCACGAGAAGGGAAGTATATCAACAGCACCTGCCAACTAACTGAGTCGATCATATTGATGGATGGAGTACAGGATCACTAGACTGCTTCAGATGAGAATAGTGAACCTGATAATTCGACACGACACTTAGCTGATGCTCTGTTCTCCCTGCTCTGCACCCAAGTCTCACTTTCAGACCGTACGGAGTAGTAACTTAGGTACCTAGGGACAGAGTATTTCGTACCTACCTGTCAGCGGTGGAAGTTAGCACTCCGACGACACTAGAGTCCTAGACCTACTCCGTACACAGTAACCCGTGACAGCCGCGGAAATGACCGATCTGAAAAGTGGCTCGTCATCTGCAACAAACTGTCAGGACTCAGAATGGATGGCGGAGAGCAAACGACGTGGCAACCCAGCAGTCCAGCAGACCAGGTGACCCAGTATTGACTAGTCCCGTCCTTAGGTAGTTAGGTACCTGGTAAGGTACCTAAAGTAGTAAGGTACTACCGGTACCTTCCTACCTCCATAGGTCTATCTTACCAGCCAAGTGCTATTTTTGATACGTCCACGGGTACCGCGTACGGCAATACCCCCCTAACCCGATGGGGACGGCACTGCCCGGCGAGTTCGTAACGGAGTACGCGGTAATTACCCAGTGTCCAACCCAGTCCGGGCTGCTGCTTGGTTGCGGGCGACTGCGGGCGCCTTCCGGTTCGCCGCCTCACTTTTGTTTGCTGTTCCAACTACTCCGTACCTCTCCGTAAGGTACCTGGTAACCTCTGGCTGACACTGGACACTGGGCAGTCTCATTATTGCTCGTCACCGCCCGGGCTAGGATGCAAAGAGTCCAGACCCTCGACCCTCTTTGCCCGGACGGGACTTGCTCGATCCTGTTCGGGCAAGACGCTGTTGCTCGTATCGGACGCTTGGTCTGTGGGGTGGTCACCCTCTTGCGGCTTCACCTGCTGCACCCGTTAAATCGACTGTCGTCGCCCTCCCTGGTTGTCTTCAGATCTGCCACATTCACCACCTATACTATACCTCTGCTGTCTCTTTTCTTTTTTTTTTCTCCCCTCTTGTACAGCAACTACTTTCCTCTTGAAAGCCTTGCAGCTGCCGAGGCCTCATCTACTATACCACCTCTGGTATAACTACTCCTTCAGCTCAACAAGTTGGGTTGCTTATACCACCCGTCTCTGTCCATCCTGACTTCATTGATTGTTGTTTTGATATCAATCAACAGTGAGTATTTCTTATCGACAAGAGACGAGGCTCCCGCTGACCCCCTCCCCCCTTTTCGGGGGTTTCTAGAAAACCCCTCCCCCTCAGTGTTGATACTGATAGCAGCTTTCTACCTCCCAAGGAACCATCATGGCAGCCACCGTGATGGATGACGATCTCTTCACGAGGGCGATCTCTGGATACCGGGACGTATTTTGGAAAGAGCTCTCTCACCTCCCGGAATCGGAACGAAACGAACTCTGGAGCCAGCGACTGAATCAGTTCATTCCCTCTACCGCCGTCTCGAGTCCTTCGATGAACCTGGGTCCGTCTCCGGCGCTTGAGAAATCTGGGAAACGGTTACGACAGGATACTCCACGGACGCTTCCTTCTGGTACTACTGGGCTTCCTCTGGCTAAACGGCGAGCCACCGTACGTGTCACCTTGGTCTCTCTTCCGCCTCTGTCCTCTCCGTTCATCTAGTTACGCTACTCCCTCTGTCTCTGCCTCTCCCATATACACACATACACATACACACACAGAAAATGAGAAATACTGGACCTGGATTGACACTTCATAGTCTCCGGAACTGAAGGGCACCATCGACCTTACTCGCGATCTGTCTCATGCTTCCTCTCCCGCGGCCCCCGAGGCAGCCCGGCAGCTATCCAGAGCCAACTCGCGGAAAGGCAACTCCTCTTCGGCTCGACACACGGCCATGGTGCGTTCGCAGAGTCAGCAACTTCCCGTCTCGCACCGTCAACACCACCTGGCCGCGGCTCTGGTCCCCAAGCGGCAATCCCTGGGATCCCAACGGCCCCCGCACCTGCGTCTCGACAACGTCGATGAGTATTCGCCGTCCGAGTACACCCGCCAGTGTATAGACGACTCGCTCTTCCAGGATGGCCCCTCGACCTGGTCGGCGGTGGTCTGGCCTGGGGATTCGGTGTTGGTGGATACTCCCAGTGTCTCCTCCCAGATGCTGCCTCCAACTCAGTCTTTAGCCCATTTTGGTGGAATCCCTGTCCCTTCTTCCTCCCTGTCAGAACAAGTGGCCCACTCACTGCCGGTGGCCTCAGTCGAGATGAGCAGGAGTACCACAACAGACTCGATCTGTGGAGGTATCGGCATGATTCGGTTTGATTCTACGGGGTCCAATCTAAATCCTGCTGGTTTTGACTTCCCTTCTTTCCCTCCTTCTTCTGCTGCTGATTTCGTTTCCCCCACGTCCCAGGTGGACGCCGTGTCTTTCCCCCTTTCTCTGTCCCAGACTCCACTGGATCTGGATCAGAGTCATCAAATTCCGTATCTTGATAGCACCTATGTACCCCTTTCCACCTCCGCTCCCTCTACTACTACCTACCATCCCTTTCTCACCGTGCCTTCCTCTGACTCTACCTTTACTTTATCTTCGTGCTCCTCCTCCTCCTCATCCTCTTCCTCTTCCTCCTTCTCCTCCATTCCTTCCAATCAATCGGTCGAGATGAGACATTCTCTGTCCGTCGAGAGCGATAGCTCTTCGTCGTCTCAGCAGTCCCGGGCTGCGAGACGCACGCATGAGCAGATCCTGCAGGGCGCGCGCCCCATTGCACCTAAAGTGCAGACGCAGCACAGCCCTCCGTCAAAGCTGGCCGAGCAGCATAAGATGATCCGTATCTCGTCGTCGGACGGGACAGCCAAAGAGGTGGCGGCGATCCCCAAGGCCTCGGTGCAGCGGCCTCAGCGGCCCAAGACAAAATGCACCATGTGCAACGACCAACCCGAGGGCTTTCACGGCGAGCATGAGCTGCGTCGGCACATCGAACGTGTGCATGCCGTCGTGCGCAAGGTTTGGGTGTGTGTGGATATCTCCCCCGACAAGACCTTTCTGGCCAACTGCAAGGCCTGCCGCAATGGCAAACGGTACGGGGCTAACTACAACGCGGCAGCGCATCTGCGCCGCGCCCACTTCAACCCCTGCCAGCGGGGGCGCGGTGGTCGCGGCAAGGATAGCGAGAAGCGCGGAGGTAAGGGCGGCGGCAACCGCCCACCCATGGAGGTGCTGAAACACTGGATGGTCCAGAAAGAGGAAGTTGTCCTCGAGAATGCACACAACCTCTGTGACGATGCCGTAGCAGCACCCGAGATGGACCTGTCGCCGGCCATCGAGGGTGAGAGCGATGACAACAGCAGCAGCAGCAGCAACAACAACAGCAACAGCAACAGCCACCTCGCCTCACTGGCGTTGGAGCCGAGTATGCTTACGGGCTATGCGGAAGCGTTTGTCCAGACCATGGCTCAAGGCTCATCATCATCTTTTGACGTCCCTTTCTATCCAACTGGCATTGACTATGCCATGTGATTGTATAACATCTCTTTTTCTTTTACTTTTCTTTTTTGATCCATTCTTACCGTTTTTTTATTTACCACCACTTTCTACTTCTGTTCATGTTTATATCTTTCTTCTTCTTCTTCTTCTTCTTCTTCTTCTTCTTCTTCTCTCCGGCTTTTTTTATTCCTCTTGCATCTTTTCTCTTTTTTTTTTTTTCCCCCTCTCATCTCTCTTCTTATCCCCAACCGCTTTCTATTCTTTAATCCCCCCCTCCCGTCCTCTTCTCTCTTATACTACTTTTTTTGCCTTATACATCCGCCGCCTCTACTGATTGCCTTGGTCACGGCCGTGGTCGCAAGCCGACAGGCGCACCTCTGCGAGGGCGCTTCAGAACATATTAATGATGATGATATCAATAATTGACAAACTATTCTCCATGGCGTATTCCGTAGAAGAATCTAAAAATAGTCATATTAGGCAACAGTGTACCTAAAGAAGTGCCACGATAGACGTGGCTGTGGGCAGACGGCCGTGGCAGTGGCTGAAAGCGAGCCTGTCAAGGCGTTTTCTCTGTCCACTTGAAACGGTCTAGCGGCAGTGTAGGTAGAGCTGCTGTTTTAGGAACAAGCCGCGAGAATCGAGTATGTGGAGACGGCCAGCGTCATCAATGGGCAGTGATCTGCTTGGCACACTGCGCTCACCCAGTTGGCCTCATTTTCAAGCTACGGCTCGAAAAAAACCGTTCGACTCTGTGGTTGAATTGATAGTTCAACACGGGGATGGTGGGACTACGGGGGAATACCCCTATCACGGAGCGTTTCTGGATTTTGTACGGTGTATTTGTTTGTACTCTATGGGTGGAGAGTCCCTGCAGAAGGTTAGGTAATTAGGTAAGTGATGAGCAGCAAACTGGACCCTGGAAGTATAGAATGCCATACTTGAATAAACAAAAGAATACACACATGTATGTATATATATATATATGTGTGTGTGTGTGTTTGTGTGTATGTGTGTGTATTATTAATAGATAAGACTACTAATAGAATGCAATTCAATTTTAACATGTTAATAAACAAGTGCCTAGAAATATCATCAAAATTTCTATGATCATTTGACGGCCATCAGCCCTGCTGGTCCGCGCCTTAGCGCCAAGGAAGTTCGGTAGCATTCTTCTCAGCTCACTCACCTCGCGAACCTTCCCTCTTCCTTTTCTCTTCATCTATCCCATCGCCGTCCACAAATCACCTCGGTAAACTACCTGTCCTGGTGCGTCGCTCCGTTTCTGTTGTCTGAAATCGTTGCATTGATCCTCGCTAACCCCCTCTCCTCGTCACAGATCCATTCCGCAATGTCGCAAAACGAGTACTACCATCCGCAACAGGGACCGTACCAGCAACAGCCTGGCTACCCTCCGCAGCCACCACAGCAAGCGTAAGTCGAATACTCGCCAGCCCTTGAGGTTCCAAAAAACCCGCCGTCCAGTCCATATACATATTTATATATATATATATATATTTTTTTTTACTTTTGGATTTCTTCAACCGTCTCTTCCAGGTGCTTGGGAACTGACTGCTTTGTCCTAGGTACCCGGGGTACCCTCCCCAAGGACCTCCCCAAGGATATGGCCCTCCGCAGGGCTACCAGGGCGGCCCTTACGGTCCTCCCCAGCAGCCGGTATGTCTCCCTACAGTTTTGATACATACATGGGGGAAAACATAACGGGACTAATCGGCTCCCTGCAGATGTACCAGCAGCCCCCGCCGCAGCAGCCTCAGTCGAAGGACCGTGGATGTCTCGGAGCATGGTGAGTCCTCTCCTTTCTTTTCCTTTCTTTCTCATTTCCTTTTGAACCCATTAAACTAACGAGACAGCCTTGCTACCCTCTGCTGCTGTTTCCTCTGTGAAGAGAGCTGCGAATGCTGCTTCGATTGCATCGAGTGCTGCGAAATGTGCTAGAGTGCTAGACGGTCGTGCCCGATCGGTCTCTAACAATACACTTTTCAAGTCGTGAATGGGAAAAAAGGCCGGTCGAGGCATGAAACCATACGAGGGATGCCGAGAATTTTTTTTTTTTTTCTTTGTCTACTTTCCTTTGTCCTTTGTTTTCTTGCTTCTCTTCTGGCGCGTTTCAAATGGGTTGTGCTTAACAGTTCCATGATAGCAAATGGCTAATATTTTATGCCTTGTAGTCCCATCAGAACGTAAAATATGTACAATCCATGTAATTAGATAGCCGTTCCGTTGGATTTCTAGAGTCATCCAGTATTCAATATCATATGATTCTTCTCCTCATGACGAAGCTTCCATTCAGACATGGACATCTCCGAATAATATCTCATGTGAAAAGGCGAGGCGAGGTCACAGCGAGGCCACCTAAAGGCGGGACAGGCTGTCTTCTGTACGGTACCATCCCATATCTTCTCTAAATAAAGGCACGCCGACCGCAGTTTCAGTATCATGTCTTGCCCGGCGAGGTTTGTTTTCATGCGGGCTCCCTTATCTTGACCGCCCCTGACATCAATATCACGTGACCATATCTCTACCCCGGCCACGTCATAAACGGTGAAATCAATACTTTGTGTCCTGTCTGTCTGGCAGAACCCTTTTTCTTCCCCCCATGACCCGCAGCAGTTCTTCTATTGATCGTACTACTGTAAAAGCTGTACATTATTCTTATAGTTTTTTGATAAAAAAGAGGGGAAAAAAATACCACCATGTCTGACTCGACCCTTTATCTCTACACCTCCCTAACGGCGGGGTCATCCCATATCGTCACTGCAACGGCGCGGATCGAGACGATCCTCAAGGCCAACAAAGTGCCCTTCCGGGCAATCGACATCGCCACGGACGACGCTGCACGGAGGCTATGGGGGCGGAAAGGCCGGGGGAAGAAGATTCCAGGTCTGGTGAAATTCAACCAGGTTGTAGGAGTACGTTTCCTCTTCATGCAGGAGCTTGCAGTAGCTTTGTCATGACTTACATTTTTTTTTTTAATTTTTTTCTTTCTTTAGGATCTAGAAGAAGTCGAAGAATGGAATGAATACGGAGAGCTACGAATGGTGATCAACGCCGTTGAGGATCTGGACAGTATCCCCGCCGATCTGACCGATTCCACCGCCAGCGCCACCGCAGCAGTCGTGGCGTCTACTCCGCAGGCGACGCCGCAGGTTCCCAAGCAGAGTACGATACAGATCCAGAGTCCTCCTGCCAAGAAGGAGAAAAAAGATGAGCAGGCTACGCTGGCGCTGAGACAGGCTAGTCTGGAGGCAGCGTCCAAGGCTAAGGAACAGAAACAGGCGAAGCTGGAAGCGGCGACTGCATCGAAATCTACAACTGGCGAGAAAGTGGAGGAGAGGAAGGAGGAGAAGGAGGAGAAGAAGGAAGAGAAGGAAGAGAAGGAAGAGAAGGAGAAGGAGGAAGAGACAAAAGTCGCCCAGGAAGTGAAGCGGCCGTCGCTCATTTCCGAGGTGGCTGCCGTTTCGACTGCAGATATGCATGCCGACACGGGCGTACGGGAACACCATCGCACCTCGATCGTCTCGGCCACTTCGGACGCGGAAAAGGAACAGGTCGCCAAGGACCTTCGCAAGTCCATCTCTAGCGGTCGTCCGGAGTGTGTTAGCGGGCTCAAGAGTGAGAGGGAGGGCGAGAACGAAGCGAAAGGCACCGCAAAGGATGAGGCGGTTATCAAGGAGGAACCGGAGGAACCAGAGGCAGAAGCCACCACGGTACTGGCGGAGAGTGTTAGCACTCCCGGGGATGCTGGGAAGGATGGAGAGGAACCTCTTACTCAAAAGCAGGATCCCAAGGCGGCTGAAGAGGCTACCACCAGTGTCGATGATTAAGACGCGCTCTCCCTCTCTCCCTCTCCCTCCCTCTCTTCTTTTTCAGTCTTATTGCCTCTTCGTCATCTTTTCGATTGTAGAGATACCAAATTGCGTCTTTCGTTGGTATTGTCGAGTGCGGAATGGACATATGTTTTTGAAGTCATAAACACTAGATTAGATACAACTATTTTTTTTTTCATGTATAAATGCACACGATATAAAGGATAGGCGTACTACGAGCGTCTCTTGTTGACGGCCTCGCGCAGCTTGGTAATCACATCGCCCGGATCCTGTGCACCAAAGACCGCAGACCCGGCAACAATCACGTTGGCACCCGCATCGGCCGCTTGGTCGATCGTTCCCAGGCCCAATCCGCCGTCTACCTCGATGTTCAGGTCCGGGTATTTCTCGCGCAGGGCTTGCACCTTTGGCAGTTCCGAGGCCATGAATTTCTGTCCTCCAAAGCCGGGGTGAACGGTCATCACAAGAACCATCTTTATAGCTTGTTAGCATAATTTCCCTCACAGATGAAGCGAGGCAATTTCGGAAAGATAAACTCACATCCGGCCGCTCAATGGCTTCCTTGTTCTCCAGAATCTCCCATAGGACATCGACCGGTGTGTCCGGCTTGATCGCAATCCCAGCCTGCATGTCCTGCTCATGAATATACCGGATGAGCTCCTTCGGACTAGTTTTACGTGTGGTCGTCTTATCAGCCGGTTCGGTCGCTGCCACAGAGGAGATGGCCGCTTCGTAGTGAAAACAGTATAGGTCGCACCCGGCGTTCTTGAACTCCTTGACCCATCGATGGGGCTATCCAAAACAACGGTCAACATCGCCCCAGTCAGGCAGCAATAAGAGATATGTGTGTGTCTACCTCTGCAATCATCATATGGCAGTCGAATGTCCCCTTGCCGCTGGGCTCTGATGGCCGGTCAACGTGGGACCGGATCATGGTCACCACGGGGGCGCCGAAGGTGATGTTCGGCACGAAATGGCCATCCATGATGTCAACATGGAGCCAATCCGCCCCTTGAGCTATCTTTGTCGAGCATTCTGCGCCCAGGTTCCCAAAGTCTGCACTGAGGATGGAGGGGGCGATGATGGCGGGTGGAGACATGGTAGAGTAGCAAGTAGGCTTATCTGGATTAATCAGATTAGGAAAACAGACAGTATAAGAGATGCCTTCTCAGAGCATACAATATACGTAATTGATGCCTGTCGGCGAGGAAAAACACGTCGCAATTGGCAAGCGAAAAAAAAAAAGTAGTATCAAACACCCCGCGGTGTTATGCTCCGAGCTGGTTCACGCTCCGGACGACGTCAGTCCGCTCGGTCCGACCCCGCCTTGGATTATTCAGCCTGAAGATTGTCGATCACGTCACGTGGTGAGAGGGAGAAATATTTCTGCCTGAGGCGTCAACAGACGGTGACCAAACCGTCTACCTTCTCAACACCTCAACGCCACCACCTTCCTCCATCATGCAATGTCTGCCCAACTCCCAGTGGGGGGGGGCTATCGACCTCTGGCGAACCTCGAGGCGTGTCTATGCGCTCGGCCAGCAGTTCTCTCTCCCATTGTGCCGATGTGCCTTGACTAACCAAGTATAGTACCAATGATCGTTCTAAACATAGCCCTCGGCGCTTACAGCACGCCAATCACCTCGACACATCCCCTTGTTCGCAACAGATATAGGCATTAACCGACCGCCCGATACATGGACTGTGATTTTCAGGGTGTTTTACTGGTTGCTCAGGGCGCTTTCGCAGCCAGGAGAAACTCTAGGACTGGCTGCCAGTCTTGTGCCCTGTAGGTTTCTCGCCAATGATGCCCTATCCGCGCCCTTGCTCCGTGGGGATTGGTGTTTATCTGCAAAGTGTTGCAGTAGCACCCTGCCGCCTGTTGCCCGTGTGACTCCATCACGATTTGGTGGACTGGGTGCTCTTTCTATTTATCCACGCAGGTTCCGGATCTCCAGCCTTGCCCTCGCTTTATTGTGCTGGTTTTGTGTGCTTTTGTTTTCTCGTCGTTATACGCCTTTGGCTCCGGTAGCTAGGCTCATCTTATTGATTTCATTTGCATTTTATCAAACATTCGTTGAAAATTGCACACCGTTGACCGGTGTAGCCCTGCGATTTGCTTACAATAGACCGGATCTATTCAGAAGTCCCCTGCGGTTGAATGGTTATGTGTGTTTAGAAAATTTTGAGATCCACCTCACGTTCCTTTCTTTGCGATACTCAGAAACAATCTTGGCCGACTACACCAGACGAAAAAATGTCCGATTTAGATCGAATCATGTTACCAAGATGTCCGCCCCTTCGGCAGGCCCGAGGGACGGTACTTAATACTATAATCGAGGATAACCGAGAGACGCAATACTCCGAGAAGCCCGAGATCAAGAAGCCTGCGGTAGCAACGGTACGTCAATTGTTAACGCTCAATACAAAGAACCTTCCGCCATCCTCGACTTTGACCCGTTTCGCCTCCCCACGCTCCGCGGATACCCAGTCAACGAGCTCGGATAATGAATGGGAGAAACGAATAACACATTTCGATGACCTTTACGATGCCACGGATATCGAGTTGAGCCCGAGTGATGACTGTGACTCTCTCACCTCGAGCTCCCGCCCAGGGAGTTTGGGGAGTCTGATCACGCCTTTGACGAGGCACTCGTCCTCCTCCATACCTGGAGATAAACGTCTCAGTTTGGTCATTCCTTCGGAGTGCTCTGCTTCGAGCAACCTGCAGCATAAAACCTCTCCACTGCCACCCCCAACTCCGTCGAAAATTCCGGTATCAAGCGAGGCTCTTTCGATGATTCCAGTGGCAGTACCTGCCTTGCATGCCCCCCCATCACTGGATGGCAGCCTCTCATCTGACCAAATATCCAACATCAGCACCCCCATGACCCCAGAACTCCATTCGGAAAATGACTGGTCGCTGCGCGAAGTTCAAGTCCGGTCGGATTTGGATGACAGTCGAACAGAGGAGCTTTCCAACCCAGACGCAAGCTCGGACATTCAAGACATCGAGATCACTATCGAGTCCTCTGAAGAGAACTGGGCTCATGTACTTGCAATGTTCCCTGATATTCCCAATGCCCCGGGTGTTATGAATTCAGAACCGGGTTATCCGTTAAGGAGCGAGGAACTTTTCCTGGAAGAGGCCCCGCCACTAGACGAGGGTGTTGTTCTCCCGGAGAATGCATTGTCAACACTACGATGTATTCAGCTGGATGCTTCACCAGACCCTTGGTCCGAAACATCCGAGAAAAACAACGAGATGTGGCAACTACAGGTAGAGATTGATCGCCGGCGGCGAAGCACCGAAGAGGTTCCTTCTGCTTCTGCTTCCAGTCTCTCCGATTACAGCTTTAGCAGTCTCAGTATCCCTTCACCAGGAGGGTTCTTTGCTTCTCTGAATGCACGTGCACGACATACTTGGTCCTTTCCACATTCCAACGAAGTTCCCTCAACCGCTACTGCAAGGAACTTTTACGATGTTCCCTGGAATCAAGCGAGAGGTGAGATCATTGAGCAGGTGATTGAATGCCCCCAGCGAGAGGATTCCGATGATGAACCGACAGCAAAGCCTCCGAAGGCAACGCCTCTCACAGCAATCAGAATTCCAACGGATACCGAAGTCCAGGCTGTACCAGCAGCAATGGCTCCTGACAGTCCTGCTTCATTTTTTGTCAACGAAATCCCCAAGTCCTCTGTTGTTTACGAATACGACGAGAACTATGACGAAGAACTGAAACAGCGCGCCGTTGCAAGTCTCGACCGTACAAGCTTCTGGCTTACTGCTCAAGCCACTTATCTCGCCGCCCTCCGGGAGACAAACCCCATCAACGATATCTCCTGTGAGGCAGACCAGACGGGTGAGATCAAGGAAGACAAAGATGAATCAAAACGAGCTTCAAGTGCGCTCAGCCGGAAAAGGTCTGTCAGGTTTGCGGATATCGTTCCTGAAGCCATAGCCTTAGGTCCTTCGATCTTTGCAAGCAAGGACTCGATCTACTGGCGAGGATTTCAGGCAATGTGCAAAGAATCCGGCAATATAGACACTTTCCTCCACCAGCATACCCGCTTCGAGGCTATTCAATCCAACAGACTTGGCAGCGCCAAGTTGCATAGAAATTGCCTTCAAGGGAAATATGAAATTGTTCCCTACGTGCGTCCACCTTACAAGGGACCTTTCTCCAAAGCTCCTCGAAATTCGGTGATCGCATCAACTCTGGTGGAGAAGGCGGAATTTGCTAGGTTGGAGAAGGAACAGGCAATTCTTGCGCAGCTCAGTCAACCCATGTGGGCCGTTGATGCGTTCAAGTTTCTGTATGGTGGCAATTTGGTTCCGAGCCCTGCATCAAAACGCCTCTTGAAAGCAAAAGAGCCTCTGGGGACTCCCCAGAATGCCGGTAAACGTCGTATCCGGGTTCTCGACTTGGGTGGACAAGGTGCGTGTGAGTGGGCATGGAAGCTCGCCCACGAATACCCGAACGTCAAGGTCTACACTGTCATTACCAAGCAGCAAATCGTCAACCAGGGGATCAAGGGTCCTGCCAATCACCGGCTAGTCTCTGTACCACGCCTTTGGAACCTCCCTTTCCACGACAAGCATTTCGACCTCATCTCAGCACGGTCGTTGCATTCTCTCCTCAAGGCAGAGCCGCCAGTCGGCGAGCAGGACGATGAGTACGATCTCTGTCTGAAGGAATGCTATCGTTGCTTGAAGCCTGGCGGATACCTCGAGTTTTTCGTCATGGATGCGGCGATCTCTCAAGCTGGCCCGTACGCGTCTGCAACTTCAATCGAATTTGAATTCAATCTCAGAACACGAGGTTATGACCCGAACCCAACCAAGAAGCTTCTCGGTCGCCTACGCAAGAGTGGCTTCGTCAACATGAAGCGGGCATGGCTGTTCCTACCTGTGGGCGTGGAGGCTAGCAAGACCAAGGTCATCAGAGAAACGCCGGATCCCGCAGTCAACGACGAAGTCGGCGATTACGAAGCCGTCCACGGGCCGGTTGGTAGTACTACCGAAATCGCCAGTTTGACTGGTGTTCTCGGAGGCTGGATCTGGGAGCAATGGTTGCTCAAGCTCCGAGTGGAAATGGGGCATGAGGAGCAACACCTCTTGGATGGCATCGGTCGTGTCTTTGCCGAAAGCCGCAAGAACAATGCCGGGTGGACCTGTTTGTCTGGCTGGGGGATGAAGCCCAAGAAAAAGAAGCCTGTACTGATTCAACCGAATCAAGCGCGCTGAAGCTTCTCTTCCCTTCTCTCTTCCTTTCTCTCTCTCTCTCTCTCTCTCTCTCTCTCTTCATTTATGACTGCGTCTATACCCATGCATACCCTCAGCGTCTCCCTTTTTCGTCAAAATGGCCATGAATTTTCCCAGTTCCCTCCGACATGTATATGCACCTAATGCCCTGATGCCCACTTTTTCACTTGCTTTTGCATCCATTATAGTAATGCCCCCAGTTTCTATTCAATATCAGCAACGACAATAAACATACACAGGTTCTCAGATTGAAATACAATGAAAGGGATTATATTATAGGTAGCCTTTAATATGGCATATATTGGACATTCCAGCGAGATAAATACGAATGCTCTCATTTGTAGGCATTACATGGCCCAACCCTGGGCTGGCAGCCTCAGGCTCCAAGGCTTCAATTCCTTAGTCAGATTGTATGGATCACGTGACGCATATTCCAGCAAACTTCCCGATTCGGGCGCCGCAATCTGCGACCGCGAAAGACAACAGCGTGGGCCTGTGTCGCTCCTTTAGTCAAAACTCGGTCCTCTCTCACGAACCAGCCAAGAGCACGCGTGAAGGCTCTGCTCATCTCGGATTTTGAAACCAGATCCTGGAGGCGATGCACTGATTTCCAGTCCAGCACACCCACCATATCTGCCCCTCCAAGCATTTCCCGTCAATATGCTCTTTTTCAGGTATGCATTTACCCACGGATTCACAGTTCTTATGGTAGTTTATACCAGTCTGATTGTTTCTCTTTCTCTGTAGCTTTTTCAAAACCCTCACCAATCAGGTGGTGACCATTGAGCTCAAGAATGATATCCGTATCCGCGGCGTCCTGAAATCAGTGGACCAGTATCTCAATATCAAGCTTGACGAAGTGGATGTCCTTGATCTGGACAAATATCCTCACCTTTCTTCAGTGAAGAACATGTTCATTCGCGGGAGTGTCGTTCGGTACGTGGTGCTGCCACGGTCGGAGGTTGATGTCGGGCTGTTGGAGGATGCTACAAGACGAGGTGCGTGTTACTGGAGCTCCCTGCTGGGTTATCCTGCATTTTGGAGCCCATAGCCCCCGAATTTCACTCCGGCTATGATGTCCAAAGGGCAAGGAGCGCGAGTGCTGATTATATCTCTCACAGAGGCCGCCAACCAAGTTAGCAAGGCTCGATAAGGAAAACCCGTGGACAAAACCCAACCGTGTCCGTTATGCCATCGATCATGTCTGTCGCAAGCCACCGACCCGGTCTATATCCCCTATAGTTATACAAATGGTGCTGCTCTTTCTTGCCGGGATTGTCGGTCCTCCGTACAACTCGAGGGCCAATGGCAAGTGTCGGATACACGGGGTGCCTTGCGGTAGAACGTCGGATATGAGCTTACGAGGAGGATTAAGGATACGAAATATCCTATACTACGAATTACTCAGACCATGCCTGCTTCGGCGCTGGTGTCGATAGGCGAAGTTGTTGGAGTGTGCTTCGAGGTCGTCTCGACATAAGCCCTTAATACCTACTCATCTACCGGGAAACGATTCAATGTCAAGAATTCTCGTCCATCACGATATTGGGTAGACTCTTCTCTTCTGTAGAATCAAATAAATCTGATATGACGCTCAAATAAGGGAAATCTCATCACGTGATCTCGCGACGCGAAGCAGGTTTCTTTCCCATCCGCGCCGCGCCTCGTACCGAATCGCAATTCCCCGCTGTGAAGAACAAGCGTTTTTTTCCATTATCATGACGATGAAGGGTCGCTCTTCGTACCCTTCGGCATAAAGCCAAAAACAATCCCCCGGGCCAGAACGGTTGCTTCGCTCAGCTGACTATCCACCTCCGCCGCCATACGGGTCTCCTACTATTCGGCCTTGTCGGTGCCAACACCCACCATGGCAGGGTTAGGTGCCAAACGACCTTTCACCCCTTCTAAAGGAACAACCAACTCAAAGCGAACGCCGGCGTCGAAGAAGAAGAATCACAGCATCCTGAACTTCTTTCAGAAGACAGATGGCCCGCCCAAGCCTACTTCTCGCCAGTCACGAATCACACAGTTTACGACGACTTCAAACGGGTCGAATGGAAACAGGCGCACGGCTCCAGGGCTAGGAAGAGCCGATAGCTCCAATGATGTCAGCGCTTCTGAAGACCTGTTTCTTCAGCACAAGGGCGGGGTTGTGTCAAAATTCCCCGGAGACCCCGGAGCGTCTACGAGTCGTGACCGGCCACGGTCGAATACCCCGGATGATATCTGGAGTGTGGAGGAGCCCGATACTCGAGATTTAGAGGACGGGGCTAGGTTCAATGAGAATAATTCGGTTGTGAAGAAACGGAAGGTTGAATCTTCTGAAGAACCGCACACGGATTCCCCGCCAGCTAAGCAGAGCGGGAAGAGTGAATCGGGCGTTACATCAGAGACTGCAAAATCAAAGCAAAGAAATGGTCCCTTCATTGATGAGTCGGATAGTGAGGAGGATTTACAAGAGTTGAGGGACTTGGAAAGCCCCCTGAGTGTGCCTGGCAGGTCCACACGCCAATCAACTGCAATTGATAACCGCCCTTCTGCAGCGAGAACACCACCCCTGGTAAGAGAAGCCACGAGCCACGCCGGAGATGACGAGTTTGCAGTTTTTGACGATACAGGGGAGAGCGGATTCTTAGATCAACCATGGGAATTTGAAGAGGCTAGGATACCGGATGTCTCGGCATTCGATGCGATAGATGACTATACGAGTGAGTACCAGGAAGATTATTATGGCGGTGGTCCGGAGGAAGATGCAAGGGTCTGTCCGATTTGCCAGTTTGATATGAGTAGTTTAAACGAGGCTGTAAGTGATCTTACCCGTTGTGTTCTGTGACAAGACTTATGACTCATTTTTATCTCGCGTTCTAGGAAATCACTGTCCATGTGAACGACTGTCTTGATGGCAAAGAAACCTCGACGCCGACGACCGCAGGGCTGACGGCCACTCCAGCGGAGGCCCTCAGTCGCATGGAGCGAGCTGCTATTCCAAGACCAGCACAAAAGGACCCGTTTACGCAAAAATCTACTGGTACAGCTTCTGCATTCAGCAAGTTAATGGCCGGTAATGCCGAGGACACGGCTTGGGCAGTTGCCGCTGCGAACGAGGTGTCGTCCCGTGGGAAACAGGCGTACCAGAGGACCTGTCCGTTCTACAAGATTATCCCTGGGTTTTCGATATGTGTAGACGCATTCCGTTATGGTGCAGTTGAAGGCTGCAATGCCTACTTTCTCAGCCATTTCCACAGTGATCATTATATTGGCCTGACATCTTCGTGGTGTCACGGCCCCATATATTGCAGCAAGGTGACAGGAAATCTGGTCCGTCAACAATTGAGAGTCGATCCCAAATGGGTCGTCGATATCGAATTTGAAAAGCTTAGTGAAGTTGCCGGCACGGGGGGTGTTCATGTGACGATGATTCCTGCAAACCATTGTCCTGGCAGCTCCCTTTTCCTCTTTGAGAAATCATTCGGTCAAGGACCCTCTGCGCGCAAACAGCGGATTCTCCACTGCGGTGATTTCAGAGCGTGTCCAGCCCATGTGCAACATCCTCTTCTCCGCCCTTTGGTAGCTGATGAGGCCGGGGACCAGGCACGCCCCCAGAGGATTGATGTTTGCTATCTAGATACCACCTACCTCAGCCCCAAATATGCGTTCCCTAGCCAGGAGGATGTGATTTCAGCTTGCGCCGAGCTGTGTGTCAATCTCAATAATGGCTCTATCGATGGCAAACTCCCAGCTGGCGATGAAAAGAATGAACCCCAAAATGTCAACTCTATGTCGAAATTTCTCTCGACCGTTACTGGAAAGGGAGATTCTGACAGGAGATTTCTTTCCGGAGGCCGGCTATTAGTGGTTATCGGCACTTACAGCATTGGTAAAGAAAGGATTTGCATAGGAATCGCCCGAGCTCTGGGGTGCAAGATCTTCGCGACTCCTCAAAAGCGACGGATTTGTGCGTGTCTGGAAGACCCTGAACTGTCATCCCTCTTGACCGATGACCCCCATCAGGCCCAGATTCACATGCAAAATGTATTTGAGATACGCGCGGATACACTTGCTGACTACCTCGACTCCATGAAACCCCATTTCTCGCGAATCGTTGGATTTCGCCCAACGGGGTGGACTTACCGACCTCCTGCGGGCAGGGTGTTGGATAATCCCCCTGTTTCATCCGTCTTAAACTCCGACAACTGGAAGACTCCATTCTCAGTCCGCAGCATGACTCCTCAACGCGGTAGCACCCGAGAGAGTCTATGCTTCGGAGTTCCGTATAGCGAGCACAGCTCATTCCGTGAACTGACCATGTTCTGCTGTGCCCTGCACATTGGCCGAGTCATACCCACCGTCAATGTAGGGAACGCCACCAGCCGTGACAAGATGAAAGCTTGGTTTGAGCGATGGGATGCGGAGAAGAGGAAAAATGGATTGTTCCAAGTCACAGGAGACTCTTGGTAAATCATATCTATTCCGTACGATTGGTGGAATTATTTTTGGTATATACTATCCTTGGTGATGAATATATCGCATGATGACTTGGTTTTATGTGCCCCCTCGCGTGCATACCATCTTGAGGGTATCCACTTCTTTTGTACATGCATCCTAGATCGTTCCTTGCCTCAGCGCCGATGCCGAACGGAGTACCCCTGACAATACAGACGGGCGAAAGTCTCCACGTTCTTGTGCAAGCTTGGTCTTTCGTGTAACGGGGATGTCGGGAGGGCATCTAATCCCTAGGGCTCTATGGCATCACCCAGCGGGGAAATACGCGGGGGACAATGGTTGTCTCAAGTTGACGCGATCTTCAAAGACCAATGCATTGAACAGGGTGGAGCTTTTACCCGAAGGTCGGCAGATTGTCCGCAGGAAAACACCCTGGTCTACAACAAGAAGTCACTCAATTTTGAGGAAGCAAGTCACAAACCCTTGTTCCTGCATCTGCAGCACCCATAATTGCAAGGATATACGTATACCATGCTCTCAGAGTTACAACCGACCCTGAAAAAAGTGCAACAGACTCCCCGCAGGATACCAAGCTCTCCGCAGAAACAGGACAATTGATATTCATGATGCCTTCAAGGAAAGATATAAAATCCATGGGACAGGTGAGGGAGGGTTTGAATCTCTCAGGATTGTCTCTGAGCGAAAAAAGGCCTTCACTGCCCAGATACTACCATCACCATGATCTTACTCAAGATCTTTGTCGTACCCTTCCTAGCTGTATGCGGTTATGCAGTCGAGATCACCGTTGCATCTTCTGGCGGCAACGTGACCGTTATGCTTGGATATGGCGCAATGGAAGAGGTATGTATGTTGTTATCTACTGCGGTGATCTTGGATCGAGTTTTTTTCCGCGCTGGATAGGACTTAATTTATGTATTGCAGGAAATCAACCACGCCGGGGACGGAGGTCTTTACGCTGAGCTTATCCGGAACCGTGCGTTCCAGGGCAGCGATCTCTACCCCTCGAGCTTGGATGCATGGGAGGCTGTAAACGGAGCAGAACTGGCCCTTCAGTCTCTCGCGGATCCCCTGTCATTGGCCCTCCCTTACTCCATGAATGTTAAAGGCAACTCTAGCGTCATTGGCTTTAAGAACTCAGGGTACTGGGGCATCGACGTTCAGGCTCAAACTTATACAGGCTCCTTCTGGGCTCGAGGCTCCTATAACGGAAGCTTCACTGCTGCTCTGGAGACTAGCGCTGGCGACACTCTCATCAGTGTTGAGATTGATTCCGAAAGTGTCAGTGACGCATGGGTCCAGCACAACTTCACTTTGACGCCTACTTCGCCCGCTTCCGATACCGATAATGTCTTTTCTATTACCTTTAACGCAGCCGTAAGTGGAAGACCCTCAGTCTTCAAGATGTACAGCATCTTACGTCGTGTTTGAAGGAAGCCGATGGAGGTGCCCTCGACTTCAATCTGATCAGCCTCTTCCCGCCAACGTACAGCGATCGCCCAAACGGAATGCGCAAGGACTTGATGGAGGCTCTTGCAGTATACGGTACTGTAAGTGATTGGAGTCGCTTGCTCTCATGGTTGAGTTCCAGAATTCATATCGTTCCATACAGAAATTCCTTCGTTTTCCTGGCGGTAACAACTTGGAAGGAGAGACTGTAGGTGACCGGTGGATATGGAACAATACAATCGGCCCCCTTACAAGCCGTCCTGGCCGTGCTAGCACCTGGGATTATGAGGAGACCGATGGCCTTGGCTTGGTTGAGTACATGGAGTGGTGTGATGATCTGGGAATCGAACCGAGTCAGTATATTTTCCTTTTAGGTTTCATTCTGGATAGAAGACGATGAGCCGACTAATCATGAATACCACAGTCCTTGCTGTCTGGAGCGGTCTTGCTTTGGATGAAACAGTGGTTTCTGAATCTGAAATCGACATTTATGTCCAAGAAGCTCTTGACGAGCTGGAGTTTCTGACCGGTTCAGTTGACACTGAGTATGGTGCGCTTCGCGCCCAGTACGGTCACCCAGATCCATGGACGATTCGGTACGTGGAGGTTGGTAATGAAGACTATTTGAATGGTGGATTGGACTCGTATATTTCCTACCGCTTCTCGGCGTTCTACGACGCCATCACAGAGAAATATCCCGAGATCAGCATTATTGCCTCGACCATCGAAATGACACTGCCCGGGAATGCCAATGGGGACTACCACATGTACGACACCCCGGACGCGTTCGTCGAGGCTTTCAACCAGTGGGATCAGTATTCTAATGAGCATCATTATCTCCTTGGCGAGCTTGCTGCCACCGAATACAACGGCGCCGACGTGTCCCAAATGTACCCTTGGTGGAGTGGATCAGTGGGCGAAGCCGTGTATCTTCTTGGTGCTGAGCGCAACGCTGACAAGATCATCGGGGCAACATATGTGAGTTTAGATTTTGAATGATCCCTGGGGTTCTCTTAGCGCTCATCGGTGATACAGGCTCCTCTCATGTGCAACATTGACAGCTATCAATGGACCCCAAATTTCATTGCTTACGACGCGGACACCGCCGCAACCGCCCCCTCGACTAGCTACTACGTCTACCAGGTGGGTATCTCTTGTAATAATGCGAGACCCTCGGTTCTAATCCAGATATTTCAAAGCTCTTCAACCAACACATCATCACTAACACCCTCCCTGCCAACTCTTCCACCGGTTTTGGTCCACTGTACTACGTTGCCGGTCTCGACAACAGCACCGACGAACGCATCTTCAAGGCTGCTGTGTACAATAGTACGGGTGATGTTCCAATCGGTCTTACCTTCGAAGGCGTTGACGAAGGCACGACCGCCCAGCTGACCGTGCGGACGGCCCCCGAGGCCACCTCCGCGAACGAGGTCGGGGGGGCGAATGTGGTCAGCACCAACACCACAACGCTGACGGCAGGCTCTGGGGGGATGTTTTCATTTTCGCTTCCCAACTTGAGTGTTGCTGTGCTCGTGACGAGCAGCTCTACGGCATAAGTATGCCATGGAGACCATCTGTCTGCATTGCTGTACAGAAACTGGTGGTATATAACGGTACTAGGCTACATATTCGTATCCCGATTGATACAAGAAAAAAATGAGATTCTACCAACTATTGTGTTTAACTTCGAAGGGTCATAGGATGCTGCTGCTAGTCATAGATAGGCTGTATATTAGCCCAGTTTCCAAACAGCCTGATATCTGCGTTAAATCCCTCAATTGTCAGGGAGGTAACTGTAGGGAAGGGCCGAGCAATCAACATAGTAGGTATCGACTATAAACAATCAGCAGGTGGCTGAGGCACTTCAATAGCAAGCATCAAGCTGTATAGCTATCCAAAACCATGATCCCAACGCAACTAGCGTCTGCTCTACACTTCTACATGGCCATGAGCAGGTTGAGGAGACGGCTAGACGGCCATTTCAATTGATTTATAAGTCCTCTGGAGTTTGAGATGAGGATATCAGCAGATCCAGCCAGCGCTCTATCATGGACCACAAGCTAATACGTGATCTCACGGTATTTCTGCGGCGTGAACTTTAGATTCGTCCACAACACCACCCTTGATTCAACTGACTCGATGGAACTGCACTCTGTCCAACAGCATCTGTTAAGCCTTGACTCTTCCCAAGTACACATCGGCCGGGAGATCGCACGCTCTGATTGATGCCTTCTACATATTTGAGATAGAACTTGATGGGAAGAAGTATGCAATGAAGCTTGTAAGTACAAGCGCTTCGCCATCGATTATCCCAAACGCAGAGAACTTGAACTGTGTGGATTACTCGGGCACCCGCTATCGCCACGTAATAGAGGGCATGAAACACATCCGCGATGCCCATGTTCACCACCGAGATATATACCCCAAAAAACCTCCTTTTAGTTCCCGGCGCGCCAGAGAGAGTGGTGTGGATCGATTTTGATGTTGCAACAACCTTCACCAGTATGGGAACCCCTGAGGGGGAGTATGGCAAGCATGAAGATACACTTGTGGAGAGCTTTGGAGATCTTCTGGTCTATCCTGCTAATACTTTCAATTGCTCAAACCTAACTGAAACAGCAGGAGGACCAAAGGAATGGCATTGTTCCAAATACGAAATACTATTAATTTAAGGTATTCGAACTATCTATTATGTACTCTGAATACCAAGTTGAAGGATATGTACCACCACTACTACTACCACTCTCTACTCCTTCTTCTGCTTCTTGGAGCTCTTCTTCGGCACGCGAACAAGCCAATACAGGAGAAACGCGGCGAAGAAGTTGAAGACAATGAAGGCGAAAAGAATGCCGATATTGCGCCACCGATCACTGTAATAGATGTTCACAGCGGCCAGGAACTCATCCGTCGTAGAGAGGGAACAGAACTCGCAGTCTGTGGTGGAAGCAGGGTTCAGCACCTGTCCGCCCGCAAGGCTCATATACTCGGCCAGGTAGGTCGAGCAGTTTTGTCCCGAAGGCGGGGCGAAGTGCAGGACTTCGATGCCCGAGCATTCGACGGATGTCCCTGCTACGCCGGTGGAAAGCACGGCCGACACGAGATATGTGAAGGGGGAGAGACGGTACATGAAGATCCAGAAGCCGGGGAGGGCAGAGGGACTCGCTAGGACACTATAGTTTGTTAGAAGATGATACACACAATAATTGAGTGAAAGCGAAGTGAAAAAAAAAAAAAAAACATACCCATTGAAAATTAAGCACATGGAGAACAAAAGCTGGGCGAGGTTACCGGCCGGCTCGGCCTGCTCAATTCCCGCGATGATCATGGAGCTGAAGGTAGATGTGAAGAGCAAGAAGATGAGAACAAGGAGGAACATGGTCCCCTCGCGCTCTGTGACGGAGTGCGTGGGTTCAGCATTGGCGTAGAGGCCGATGGGGAAGTACCAGGTGAAGAAGATGGGAACGGCCATGAGGATATTCCAGGCCAACTCGACCACGACGCTGGACATCATAAAGGCCACCCACGAGTACGTCTTGGAGGGCCGCTCGCGCACCTCGTACAGCGACCGTTGCGCCACAAAGTACGGCATCATCTGCTGCACCAGGTTTGGGAAGATGACTAGCAGCATGAAGATGGCGAACATCTGGTTCTCCAGTCCTTGGATGCTGGTCGGTTCTCGCCAGAATGTGAAGCCAATGAAAAGGGGCTATGAAAAGTCAGTTTATCGTATTCTTTATAGTTTTGGACACATAATTGGGAAGAGAGTTTCCTACCGGAATAACACACATGGCGATCTTGGAGTAGATGTAGGACGGACTGCGCCAGTATTGCTGGAACACGCGCTGCACGCACACCAGGAACTGGAACCACAACGGCATAGCAAAGGCGCGGTACCCAGCTTCCGCGGGCAGCACGGGCTTCTGCGAGAGCTCGGCCTTCATCTGAGCTAGCTCAGCGCGCACGACATCACGCTCCGGGCTCTGGTTCCAGACCTCAGGCCAATCCTGTTCGGAGTGCGATCCGGGCGCGGCGCCGATGACCTCAAGCATCCATTCGGCCGGGTTGGCGGTGGGCGGACAGGGGTGAGACCCCTTGTTCTCAAAGTATTTGATGAGTGTCTCCATGTTGGCGCCCAGTTCGCCAAAGTAGACGGTCCTGCCGCCCTTGGCTAGGAAGAGCAGCCGGTCGAACTCCTGCATGAGGATCGCGGACGGCTGGTGGATGGTACACAGGATGGCTTGGCCGTGGTCTGCCAGCTTGCGCATCAGCGTACAGATTGACCATGCCGTCTGGCTGTCAAGACCTGAAGTCGGCTCGTCAAAGAAGAGTAACAGGTCCGGCTTGGCCGCGATCTCGACGCCGATGGTCAACCGTTTCCGTTGCTCGACGTTCAATCCTTCGCCCAAGACGCCGACCACCGCCTCCGCGTACTCCTCCATTCCCAGCATCTTGATCACCTCCTCGACGTACGCGAGTTTCTCGGCCCGCGGCGTCGTTGACGGCTGCCGCAGCAGCGCGCTGAAGGTCAGCGCCTCACGCACCGTGCTGATCTCCAAATGCAGGTCTTGCTGCTGTACGTAGCCAGTCTTCCGCTGGAACGAGTCGTCCCGCAGCCGTCCGTCCACCAACATCTCCCCGGTCACCACTCCCATCGTTACCCGGTTGGCCAGCACGTCTAGCAACGTCGTCTTGCCTGCGCCCGTGACACCCATCAGGGCTGTCAGAGTCCCCGGCTTCACCCACCCGTCGACATGGTCCAGGATACGCCGCGGTTCACCCTTAATCTTGATGTCGTAGCAGACATCTTGCCAGTGGAAGATGGACGTCTGTTTGGCGATCGCTCCGCTGACCTCTCCTTCCTGTAGCTGGCTTGCGCGCTGTTTCTCTGTTGGTACCGACGATGCCTCTGGGTCATTACGATCCCCGTCAGCCTGGGTGCGCTTCGCGAACGCGGGGATCTTGCCGCGCGGGAAGACTAGGATCTCGCCCTTGGACGGTTTGGCGCGAACGAGCTCGCTACAGATGATGTACAGGATGAGGAAGGCCACGAAGAAGATGACGAGGATGCCGAAGTTCCGCCACAGGTGGGACCGGTAGTACTGGAAGGCTGTGTTGATGTACTTGTCGCCGTCGATGTAGCTCTCACCCGCCACTGCACCATCACCGTTGCAGATCCGCGAGTCCGCAGGCACATTCTCATACCCAGGGCCAGATGGGATGTACTGGGAGCAGGGGAATCGGCGCTCGCTAAATTCGTTGATCATAAGGGCTTCAAAGGCGTAGGCGATTGGGTTTAGGTAGTTGAGCCAACGGAACCAGGGGTGCATATCGCGAACGGGGATAGTGAAACCCGTATAGATGACGAGGATAAGCATGACGATACCGGAGGGGACCATCGCCTGCGCCATGGAACGTGAGATGGCGCCCGTCCAACGGAAAATGTTGGACATGGTCAGTGTGGTGCTGAAGGAAAACAGGAAGAAGACAAAGAAATGGCCCGGCGTGCGGCGCAGGTTCGTCATAAAGTACAGGATGAGGTTGAAGGTGACGGCCACAAGGACTTTAGCTGGCATATCGACGAGCATGGAACTGATCGCCTCGGCAGATGGGTGATACAACGCATACTTGTCGTGTTTTTCGACAATGGGCCGCTGCTGCCAGAGCGTCAGGATCTCCAGCATACTGGCAAAGGCGTTAAGGAGAATCGAGAAGAAAAGTAGAGCACCGCGGGAGAAGAAGCTTCCCGAGTTGTCCGCCAGGTTAAAAAATACACTAGAGACAATCAGGGCCATGGCACTGTTGCCAAAGACCGTCGTCAGGGTCATGCTCATGTCACCCTTAAGTCGCCAGAAGCCACGGCGCAGACACAGCTGGACCTGACCCCAATAGGAGAGCGTATAGGGAGATTTGGCCCGGGTGCCCTTAGCCTTCTCTGCGGCACGCGAACGGGTGAACTCGTCAAATTTGTCCCCGTGGAGCGGGTACTGTTGCTGGAAGGCCTCAATGTCCGCCAGCAGCCGCTTGCGTTCTGCGCTGTCTTTCCAGCGGGCGGCGAACTCGTCCGGTGTGCGGGGAACGAGGTTCTCGAAACCCTCGCGGACCACTCGCTCCGAGGGACTCGTCAATGAAGTTAGGAAGTCGGCCGTGGTCTGTCGGTCTGGGCAGTAAAAGCCCATGTCGACGAAGAAGCGTTTGGCATCCGTGGCTCTCCCAAAGTAGATCTGCCGTCCTTCATACAGCACGGTGACCTTGTCAAAAATCTGGCAAAAGGAATGTCAATATTAGTATCTGTAGCTGCTAGTGGCTGCAGGCGATGTGTTTTTGTGAGGAGACAGAAGGAGGACATACATCGTAGATGGCTTGACTGGCTTGATAGATGGCCACGATGCCCGTGGAGCCACTATATTTGGTCGCCAGACGCAGGTTCTTGACGAACTCCAACGCGGTAGAGCTATCGAGACCTCGCGTGCTGTTATCCCAGCACTGTAGCGGACTGCCGCAGAGAGTAGTCTCCGCGATACTGATACGCTTGCGCTCTCCGCCCGACACACCACGGATATACTCGTTGCCCACGCGGGTGTTCATAGTGTGCGTTAGGCCGAGCATAGCCATGACGACGTCGCGCATGTGCTGCGCATGCTGCTCGCGCGTCACGCCAGGAATACGGTTCGCCGGGGTGCGGGCCTGGGCGGCGAATAACAAGGTCTCGCCTGCAGTGAGCTGAGGGAAATGAATTTCGGTCTCAGCCTGGTAAATGACCTCACCGCGGAAACGCGAGTGCATCTCCTCCCACGAGATTCCCTGGTACTGGATGTCGTGGCCTTCATCAAGCCACAGACCGTGAGTTTCACCGGCAATGGTCTTTAAGAAGGTCGAGCAGCCACTAAATGCCATATGTTAGCTCGTAGTTTCATAATCGAGTTTATCCTTTCGGTTTTGGAGCCTTGACCGACCTCCCCGGACGCCCCAACACCACACATAACTCGCCGCTCTCGACCAGTCCCTCAAAGTCCCGTAAGATATCAATCCGGACCTTCTTGCGCTGGCCGAGCACGCCACGGAACCACCCGCCCGCCTTCAGCCACAGGTTGGCCACGTCCATCTGGTAGTCAGCCGCGGTTCCGTAGCCGTAGGCGCTGAGGTTGCGAAAGGAGACGCCCGCCGCCCGGCGGGGGAACCGCTCCGGGTCGCGCGAGGTCAGATCGAGCATGTTCTTCAGCCATTTTCGCGAAACGAACTGGTCCGACTGCGGGTTCAGCTCCGGGTCGGCTTCGCGGTCGAGGAACGGGTTCGGCAGCTCGTCGGCACCTCTCTTGGTGGAGTAATGACTGTTCTGACGCGAGAGCTGTGACATGCGACGTGCCAAACCGATGATCTCCTCGTTGGCCGTCTGGTCAATACCGTCGTCCGAATCCGCCTGCGCGGTGTCTGAACTCTCCGCCTTTTCACCAGCGGGTGTGGTGAGCGTACTCAGGGGTTCTTCCTGGACACCCATTTTCTTCTATCCATCAACGACAATAAGTAAGAGACTAGAAAGTGAAGGCAAGAGTCAGCAATAAAGTCTTCGTCCGCGATACTAGATAACGGATACCCCGGACGAGTTACTGAGACACTCACAGCTCTATTATATGATACAAAACCCCCCGTCCATCGAGTCCCAAGAGGCGACAAGCAGGCAACCAGCGGACAAAAACAACGGACGAAGAACCCTGGAAACAATGACGAGCAACTCAAACGAAGACAGAAGGTCAGAATAAGTACTAGCAAGGTACCACCAAAGAGATAGAAAATTGACAGCGAGTCAACGCGTCTAGCCGATCCCGATCCACCAGAGAAACGGATCACGGAATGGCGTGCATCCGAACAGGGATAGGAGGAATTGGTGGGTACAAATAGAGTAGAGAGTACTCAGTATGTACTTAGTAGAGAGTAAATAGGCTGAACACGGAATGGCCATCTTCCGAGACTGTCTCAGTGACTGGATACAAGTTCTTCTCACTTCTCCGTTCGACCTACGGAGAAGCCTCAGGACTCGGGCGAACTGCGTAATGGCTCAAACAGGCAGTTGCTGGTTTGCAAGCTTTGATTGGCTGCGTATCCAGCGTATTCGGAGTATAGATGCCCCGCTTACACGCTATCCCTATTGGAGTTTAGCATTCTCGCTTACCCCCGCATCCAGTTTTCTCGCGTATTCGATACGGATAAGGACCGTATTAGATACGGATAAGAAAGAAATCAACACTGATTGACAGTCGTTCAGTGTAAGCACTAAACATTTAAACTACTTTTTGACGAAAATTAGACGGAATAATAGAGGAGTACTATTATGAATATCCTACTATGAACTTCATACTCATAGTCTCAGGTAACACTACCTACTATACCCGGGTGACTCGACACGTAAGTACTAAGTATGGCACAGCATAACCCTCTATTTCCTCCGATTGGAGTCAACCTACTAACTAGTAGTAATCAGCATATGCATGATTAGTAGTACCAGAGGAGCACAGAGAACAGAGTAAGATATGTAAATATTGGGGGCCTGATTATGAGTGATTATTGTTAATCTAAAGACTTAAAGGACTGTCAAGTCATTCGCTTATAATGATATTATCAAAGGACATACTACTGACCAGCTATTACCAAGAGTTAGACCTTCAAGTATAGTTATAAGACATATATCTATATTCCAATTAGCTGAGTAATTTCTAATTTCTCAATAGAACCATAAGCAATGCGTAACTAGTGCTTATCTAGGTGCAGTAAGCAAGGACATCAGCATTTGTAAACTGGTTTACCTGCTGTACACTTATACCCTGTAAGAATTAACTATATAATGATTAATCAGAGGCTTGATCAGGACTGTAAACATTCAGCATTGGTAGGTAGGTCTTTTGCGAGTTCTTTTGTAGCCGGCTGCTATTTAACTAGCACTAGTTCTCAGTCCTGCAGTGGTATATTCTTTAGGACCTAGCTCTGAGGAATATCGAATTGACTTAGGACTTCTCCAAGACGGCTTTTCGACAGGTATCTCATGTTCGTTTATAATGCGCTGGATAGACAAGGTTATGGCTGTAAAGTCGGCAGCTGCTCTCTTAAGTCCTAATAGTCATGAAGATAGAAGTCAGCGCAATCCAATCCAATCAAATTTTCTATAATAATCCTGTTTCTCTTACCTACTAGTTCCAGAGATTGTATGTATCAATAGCTGGTCTTCAAAGAGACTGCAATCCAGTCTGTGTGGTAATCAAGCCCTTGGAATGAGAACAAATCCAGGGAAGAAAGGAGATCCCATCAAGATAGAATTGGAATCCATAGAGCATTACCAATGTCTTAGTCCTGGATTTTGTGGTATATGAGTCTTGTCTTTTTCTACTTAGAAGATACCAGATAGATAGATGTTAGAAGAAGAATTTCTGGTGGAAACAGAACTAAGCAGTCACATGTTGCCTAGACCCAAATAGTGCTTTCTTGTGGCTTCCAAATCTCTCTTTTTCCAACATGCCATGACAGGATATGAGAATAAATCGACCTAAGAAGTACAATCCAGCGTTTCCACAGAACCACTCCGGCTACTGCCTGGTCATTCAAGAGACCACAAGGGTTGATAGGAATGGAAAATTGGTTCTTGACATCTTTTATTTTCTCCCCTGCGCTTTTTTACAAGGTTCGAGTTGATCCATATAACCAGAAGTATGGTTATTAGTACTCAAACATGATAGCCACAATTTGCGTGTATAAATATTGCTATGCTGGAGTTCTTAGAAGCTAATCTACCCATACGCTTTCTATCTTAGCACACAAGAGGCCATGCCTTGCCACTTCTTCTCTAAGCTCTTCGAGGATAAAAGGTCTCTCTCCAAGATCGAATGGATCCGCAAGCTTGAAAACACCAAAGACCTACGGAAGCTCTTGGAGCCGCTTCAGACGGATTTTAGCCTGGTCGACAAGAGAGCGATTATCCATTTCATATCAGCTGTAGCTTTCCGAGATATGGCAGGCGCGGAATGGCTAGAGACTCAGCTGCAGAATGATGGAAACTTTGAGTTACTTCAAATGTTCCGCTCTTCGTTCTTTTGGAACTCGCCTGAATATAACACTAATGGAATGCCGAAATTATGCCATGACATTGTCGAACCGGTATTGAGCACCGTTGGGTTGTCCAGAGATAGATTTACAATCAGGAAGAGATGCAGGCTATGTCCAAGTCGCTTGAGTTACATCCGTCTGATTCGGACTGTACAGCCCAGCTACAGAAATACAAAGGTCAACTGGAGGATTTGAGTGGACAATGTCGGTCTATTTCAAACCGGAGATGGCTGCTAGAGGCCATCCTTCCAGTAGGGCAGTTATTACGAGGCTTTTGTGCAGCGAGACAGAATTCTGACAGGTATCTTTCTACTTGGCTGCGGGAGGACTGTGTCAGGCGAGGAGGATGCTGTGGAAGAAGCTATACATGCTGCGAAAGGCCTCGAATATCACAACGAGGGGAATTTCGCGCCCATTGCACCACTGCTGTGGCTGCTGTCGTCGGACACCTGGGCTATCTCTTGGAGATGAAACTAAGATGACTGATCTTGTCGAGTTTCCTTTCGACTTGACTTTCCCACGCAAAGACCAGTATAGCAGTAGTGTCTATTACGCGTATATTTGGGGGATTCGAGGAGTGTGGTGGAGAGAGACAAGCTGTCGGGTCGTGAAAAGTTCGTCGCTCTTCTGAAATAGATTATAATCGCGAGATCGAGAGTCAGACCATCAACGTAGGTTAGGGAGAGTAAAGTATACCGTCAGTCTCCCATCCTGAATATAGCCAGTCGTACCTTTATTCCTGCATCTCCTCCACGGTGAGCTCAAAACTGCGAGATCGCACACAGCAAACATATCCAACTGCACAGTGGCCATCGCCAGCCTTGACGACTGGGAGATCCGCCGCTGACAACATCCCCCGTGTCCAGCACAGTCCTGACAGAGTGCAAAAACTACCACATATCTGGGCGCAGTGTGGAATACCTGCTGGCAACAAGGATTCACCCTTGGGTTTGTTCGTATAGTAACTCCTTCGTGGGAATTGCTCGATCGTCAAGACTTTCCAGAGGACTTTCCGGGGGTTGAAGCATTAGACGAACAGCAGAGCGGCAGAACAGCCAGAAGCGATGTCTTTGGACTGCAAGGAAGCCTCCGACGTGGGCAGACTGAAAATCAGCATGATAATGATATAGTTTGAGTGTAGTGGAAGATACAGAAGACGAGGCAACAGGGAGAGGAGGAGACGAGACGAGAGTACCATCTCCCGCCCAAGTGTTCGTGACACCCGCGCCTCTCAACAGTTCCCTCTGTATTCATGGAAGGAAGAGATAGACAGGGGCATTTTACCATAGGCTTAACAAATTGTATTTACCAATATTAAAAATACCAGTGTTAATGGTAAAACAGTATGTAGTACAGCTACTACAGCTTATGTAGTATAGGCCCTCAGGCCCTCTCTTCTATATCAGCAAAATAACCCATTCAATGCAGTCCAAGAAATCAACCACCCATGCTCTCTTATCAACCCCTTTGTCTCATCTCCCAAGGAATCTAGATCCTAGACTTGAGATCCATGTAGTTTGCAAAGAATCTGAGAGTGCTAGAAGGAGCAAGCAGAATCCACCACGTGGTGGACAGGTTTCTGACTCACTCCCCTTGCTAATTTCCCTGACTCGTAACTCCTTAGCATTTAACTAACTAAGCGTTAGGTGGTTACTCACTAGTTAACTACGGACTCCGGAGGAACTGAGTTCCCTACCACTCCGAGTCCGTGGGAGGTGAGCGTTGCGAGGGATAAAAATACCGGGCCAAACGAGCCACTCACCACCAATCTGACAGCAGACTAAATTAAGCAATCTCCTGCTACATATTGCATAGTACTACTTCCTCTACTCGGCTCTACTAATCTAGTCCACTAACTTATTGATCCTCTGCCCTCCACATGACCCTCTGCCGCTCCGACTACTGCATCATTCACTGCATCTGCGGTCCAGCCCCAAACGCAATCCCCTTGGGAGGAACGGAGCACGCTTCGGCTGTCCACCAGGGCGCAGATTGTCTGCCTACAGAGTAGTTACAGACGAGATACCGCCTAGGAGCGTTCAAGGAGGGTGACTATAGACTGGGATTTGTTCAAATAGCGAGCCAGCACAGACCAGTCGATCTCATTGGTTTAACCCCCCCGTTCTACCAGACTCTTGCGCCCAGTCATGGCGCCAGGGTAGAATCTCCCGGGCACGCTCGTGTCCAGCCAAATCCCAGGGGGAAGGCAGACAGCAGGGCAAATTTGCCCTTGGGCTTGGTAAGGCAATTTCCCCTTTCGGCTGCGGCGATGCTTCACTTGCCGCAGTCCACCACCTGCTCACTTCTGCATTTCTATCATTAGGCAAAAACGGCGGCACCTCTCGGAATACGAAATAGAAAAAGAAAAAACGAGAATGAACCTGCCTGCGACTGGCCCTCCGTCTTCCGCTTATACAGCAGACTCCTGCACACATGCAAGCACATCTTTGGCATAACTCCCTGAGGAGGGTTGAGAGGGGGGGTTCAAAGGAAAAAGCAATAATTAGGTAGGTACTCCGTACCTACTACTACATACTTGGGTATACTCCAGGGTGTGCGTGGTTGGCTGCAAGTACTCCCGTACACGGTGCACCCCCCGAAAGCATTATTGCCTCCGGAGTGCTCGGTAGCGGTTCTAGTAGAGTAAAGGTGAGCTCTTGACTCATTTCCGTCTTAGCAGAAGCCCAAGAAATGCCGGTGCGTGGAGTAAAATGACAGCTGACTCCACCATACACCCAGGATGCAGCTGCTAGAGCAAGCCAAGTTCGCGATCAAGTACGATGTGCAAGGTGTGGATCTATTGGGGCGTTCCACAACGATGCCGGGCACGCTTAGAGGATAGACTACCGACGCGGAATATGGAGTACCAGGTGGTAACGAGTCCAGACCTGGGTGATCGCCGCCGGTTTCACGGGGACCTTTCGCTGCAGGGGTCATCAGCACAACCACCACGGAGGTCGGTGTGAGATAATCGCGACGATAGGATATCGAAGTATCATCATCATGGGAGTCTGATCGACCGAGATCGGTTCATCAATTGGATAGGTGACACACGCGGGCGTTTCTCGTTCCTCCATGACGCTGCCGCCCACTCCACCATCAGTGCACTCGCTGCCGGGGCGGGCATTTTACCCATTCTCCATCGTGGTTCCCCCGACGCAACCCATGCCCAGCCGATCACCTGTTCGTGACGTGTGTCGCTCGAAGGTGCAGAAAGCCAACGTGGGCTCCAAACGCCAGGGTGAGGAATGAACAAAGATGATTATTCGCCCCCCGGGGGGGGGTGGACAGTGTGAAGAGGCTGCAGTCATTGTTACTTCATTCCCTGTCCCTAGGGATTTGTTACTCTGTTCAGTCCAGGGAACAAAGCACTGTGGGGTCTTGGGCAACACTTGGGGCGCGGCTTGACTCGCCGTCGAGGCCCTGGATCCTATCAGTAATCCTACTAGTATCATCCAAGGAATCGCCCACGCGGCACGCGTTTTCCGATCGCGATTCTCCCTGTACGGAGTAGTACGGAGTAGGGTTCGAGACTACTACAGAGTACGGTGGCTGATCTACGTGCAGCGGGGGAGATTACTGTCTTGGGTCGTTCCTACGATGAAACATCGAGTCCCTTCTTCCATAGAGAGCATCGAGGCCCCGTCACCCCTGCAGGCAGAAACACAAATCACCACTCGGGGGAAGAAAATAAAAATATTATTAAATAAGTAACTAAAATATGATGTAATTAAAAAATAAATAAAAAGGGGCAGACGGAGGGCGCAACCATGAGAACAGTCCCTCACCGGTTTGGAGACTGGAGTACCTGTTCAGGTACTCTGTATAGTTACAACATAGTAGCAGGGTTAAAATTAGTTACAGATACCTTTACAAGTATGCCTCAAGCCACTTTTTTCAGGGTGGCTATTCATTCGAAAGGCAGATTCCAGGCTACCTACTAAACAACCAACTGCATAGCTAAAATTAACCTGCTTCAGTAGAAACGCCGGGGGGGGAAGAAGCAAAAAGAAAGAAAGAATAGGGAAAAAGAAATCCCAAAAAAAACCAGCCACAGCGCGTATCGGCTACGTATTTCATGGACAATCGGACTGTCTCGATGAGGCTCTGGAGGATTCTGGTCCTCTGGCTTTCTGGATTGTTTGCT